CGAGCCGCCGGCTGTGCCGCGTCTGCAGCTCACCCGGGGTTGCCCTGTGCAGGTCGGCGAGGACTATGGGGCGCCGGCGCCCGAGGTGCCGCCGCCGCCGCCGCGGGCTGGGTAAGAGCTGGGCGCCACCCCGCCCCTGCGGTTCGCGGCGCCCCCAGCCGGCGGCCTGTCCTACCCCGAGGTCCCGGCCGCCGCGCTCCGGAAGCCCAGCCTCGCAGCCCGGGGTCCCGGGGAGGCTGGAGTGCGCTCCGCAGCATCTGGGAGAGCCTGTCCGGCCGGTGGTGGACTCCCCAGGGCGGGCCCCCTCTGCTCTCTCGCACCTCAAGTTCTTGCAGTCAGTGGGACAGCGCTGCCGCTGACCATGCCGTCTTTCCTGGAAGAGAAGTCGGCTTTCCTGTGGCTGTCACACATCGACTCCCCGTCTCCCGTCCTGAGCCACACAGAGCAGGTTGACGCCCCTGTCGGGCCAGCCCTGGAGAGATGAGAGGTGGCCTTTAGGTGCCCCCTGAACGGCTTTAACAGAGCGGAATCCTCCAGGGCCCTTGTTTTTCAAATTGGAAGTTTGGTTAAGACACAAACTGGTTTGCCCGTGTTCAGCCGCCCACATGACCTCTCCCCTCCACCAGGTTGGGGTGAGAAACAGGACCTCTCTCTGAAGTCGTCGGGAGGGGCGTGTGCAATGTGTTCTTGTTCTCTCTTCCCCCCATGTCTCCAAAGCCGTGAGCTGAAGTGTGTGAAGTGCTCGGAAGGCCTGCCGGTGGTGGTGATCCGAGCAGGGGACGCCTTCTGCAGGTGAGGCCTGGAGGAGGATAGGAGACCCTGGCAGAAGGGCTTGCTCAGAAGCTGGGATTGCCTTCCTTTCTGTGTGGGTACCAGTCTCCCACCGTTCAACTGTGGATCAGGTGGCAGAAAGGTATATGAGGGCACTTAGGAGGAGAGCTGGCAGAGTGAGTGAGTGAGGTGCAGGCAGGATGGCATTTCTGGGCAGCTAGAACACATCTCAGGGCGATTTGGAGCATCCTGGGATCTTGGGCAGGTGCTCCAGGTGATGCCTGTTTTACTTGTGAGGGACAGAGGAGTGGAAGGTGGGCTCAGCTTTCCCCTGCCTCGGGGCGGGGGGGCGGGTGTCCTTTATACAAGAGCAGAGACGTATTCTCGGAGGGGCCTGGGCACCAGCATGTTCTGTTTTATCTGAAGCTCTGCTGTGCCCCTGTCACATCGCCTTTGAATCAAAACTCTTCTGTGTCTGATCACTCCACTAGATTCACAGCTCCAGGAGGGCAGGGCTGGTCTCCCATTTTACCCCTGTTAATTCCTGGTGATGTTGCACGCTTTGTATAGCAAATGAACATTTGTTGAGTGAGTGATCAGCTCACATCTTTAAATTGGTCTCCAAGAGTGTTGGACTCTGCTTTCTAAAATGTTCCAAAAAAGAAACTGAAGGGACTGAATAAATTGTTTTCCAAAAACTTTCTCGTCCCTGAACATCTTTTGGGAGCTTAGTAGACTTGGTGTGTGCTCAGTAGGATGAAGTGTATGCCGCCAGGAAATACATTTTAGGCAAAGAAGCCACTGCTTTAATCACTTCAGAGCATCTAAAAAGGATGATCCTTCCAATCTGCTTGGAGAACTCGCTGATAAGAGGACAGACTGCAGCAGCTCTAGGCAAGGCCTGCAGGACTTCGGGGCCCAGAGCTCCCCCCTGCGCTTGCTCAGTTTTGGGAAAAGGTGGGAAGCTGACTTTCTGGTTGTAGGTTTTGGCAGTCTAGGTTTTGAACATTTTCCTCAATGATTGTGAGGATCAGCACATGTGGGAAACGCTGGCCTGACCCAGAGGGAAAGTATGGTGCAGGGAGGACATGGAGTGGGGGTAGCCACAGGGTGATCCCCTCCCCTCCTCACCCGCAGTGTCGTGTCTGCTGGGGGAACCTCACCACATTCCGGCTTTCCTGGGAGTCACTTCCTATGGCTGGTCACTTGGGGTCCCTAGAGCTCCAGCATTTTGCAGTCAAACACTGAGTTGAGTTACCATCCTCAAAGGACCTGTGGAGTGTTTGGTTGGCTCATTATAAGGAGTTTCTGTTCAGTGTTGGGAGGATTGTTGTGGACACAAGGATAGCTGAGCAAGAAAAAGGAAGCAGACGGTGCATGGCCCCAGGCATGGGGCAATTTGGGGGGGACAGTGTTGCCTCCTCTGTTCAGGGTGCTGTTCTCCACCCAGGCTGTCAGGGGAGCTTTAAAAAGCAGATGCCTGGGCCTCATCCCAATATACTGTGATGTAGTTAGTGATTCTAATGTGCAGTCAAGGCTGACCACCTCTGACCTAGTGAGCCCGAGAATCAGCTGGAAGTTTTACCGAGAACGCAGGTTCCCGGGACCTGCCCTGGAAGTTCTGATCTGTGGGTTTGGGGAAGAGCCCAGGACTCTGCGTTTCCAGGAGCTTCCTGGGCATTTCTGGTCCCAGCCGGATCAGAGCACTAGAGAAGGGCCTGTGTGGAGCTTCAGGCCTCAGGGCTCCTGCAGCCTTCTCAGTGTTTCCCCCTTCACCCCAAGAGGTGGTGCTTCTCTTCGTGGGGGTCTTGGAAGGGGTCATCAACTCTGCTCAGGGAAGGGCTGAGTGGCCTTGTCCTGTGCCTGCCTATGTCCATCTGTTCCACCAGCTGGGCCTTTCTGAGCGCCTGCCAGTGCAGGTGGCACCAGGCTCCTGGCCCCTCAGGCATCGGTTCACACTGGTAAGGATTGTCGGGGTGATGCAGGTGGGCCTTCCCATGTGGCAGGCTCATCCTGGGGCAACCATACCTGGTGAGAACCCCTCCATGCCGACCTCATTGTCAAGATGCTTCTTTTAAAGATGGGAGTTGGTAACTGAGCAGGCATCAGGCTGCCCCCCTGCAGAGGCCAGTATTGGCTTTCCTCTCTTGGCATGGAGGTAGGCATCCTGGGCCATGTGGCTGCAGCCAGTGGTGGTTTGTGTTGCAGGGACTGTTTCAAGGCGTTCTACGTCCACAAGTTCAGAGCTGTGCTTGGGAAGAACCGGCTGATCTTTCCAGGAGAGAAGGTAGAGTGTGGGGTGACTCCTCTGTGGAGTCCCCGACTGGGCAATTCGGCCCCCCAGGCCCTGGCTCTTAGCCCCTGCCACCCTTCCTGCAGGCAGCCTGTCCCAGCTGCATCCTACCAGCTCCTCCTGCTGTCCTGTGCCTGGGCTCTGAGAATGGACCCATGTCGGGATATCCATAGAGGAGGGGGGTGGGGCATGCTCATGTTGGAGATGTGGTGCCCTCCAGCAGTGTTCCTTCTTTCCCAGGTGCTCCTGGCGTGGTCTGGGGGGCCTTCGTCGAGCTCCATGATCTGGCAGGTCCTTGAGGTGCGTCTCCACACTGTTCTCCTGTGCCCAGGCCACCGCCCAACCGAGCTTGAAAGTGGAGGGTCAGCACCAAGGGGCTCTTGTTTAGAACTAGAGAGAGCAGCCCTGGAGGGCTCCTGGATGTGTATACAAGAGGTGCACAAGCCAGGAGCTGCGTCCGGAGTACCCAGCTGTGTCCCAGTTTAGCACTCTGTCCATTTGCTCTACTGTAGAAACATAATCACTGGGAAAAGGATGTCCTGGGGGCACAGCAGGGCGTCACTCAAGGTGGCCTTGAAGCCATGGGCCTTCTCTCATCCTGGGAGTGTGTCTGGGGCAAGACATTGAAATAGAAGCAGGTGTCTTGGGAGACAAAAAGTGCTTTGGCCCTGTCAGCTTCTTTGAGAAGTTGAAGAGAATGAGAGGCAGGGGGAGGGATGCTGTCAGGGGAAGCAGTGTTGGTGAAGACAGCTTATGTCGAGGTGGGGAGGGGAGAAGAAGGAACACTCCTGGTTGTGTTGTCCTGCCCGGATCACAGTGTGGGGCAGTTACGGTTTCTCCCAACTTATGACATAAGTCTGTTGTCATAAGTCAGTGCTGTGGAGGCTTTGGCCAGGGGGTGGGGCACACATGACCTGCACTGCCTGTGAGGGGTGTAGACTGGAGGGACTGGGGACAAGGCTGCAGCCGTGGGGTGGTCTGTATGGGATCCTGGGAGGTGCCCAGAGCTCGAGCGTGGTGTGTCTGCTCTCACTTTATGTCCCCTAAACCTGGCTGGAGGATCTGAGATAAGCGCCTGCTCCCCCAGATGTTTGTCCAGCACGTGGTGCCCTTCCATCTGAGCAGCAATTTCTTGCTTTTGTCCTGTTGTCCTGTTCCATGCTGAGCAGCCAGAGGAGCGTGGGTAGGGGGCATGGATGGCCATGTGGATCCAGCTGCTTTTCGGGGCACTGCCAGGAGCAGGAACAGACCGGGGAGGGCGGGCTTTACAAGGGATAGTGCAGACACCCAGGCAGTTTGAAGTGAGTCAGGCTATGCGGCTTCCCTCTGCAGCCTCTCCACTACAGCGGGGGTCATTGCCCCTTACAGAGAATGGTTTCTGTAGGGAGTGTCCTGTGGCTTCTAGCCGTGAGGCTGAGGCCAGTCCCTTCCCCTCTCCAGGGCCTGAGTCGAGATTCTGCCAAAAGACTGCGTTTTGTGCCAGGGGTTGTCTACGTTGATGGTACGTGTGGCCTTTTTTCTCTCCAAGATCCCAACCGCTTGGTGCAGGCCCCCTGAAACAGCTGGCACTGTGCCCACACCCAGGCCCTGGAGACAGTGCATTTGTCCACCAACAGATGGCACTGCTGTTGTCATAAGTCAGACCATCAGAGAGTCAGGCAGGAGCTTCGGCCTGGCCACCTCTGCGGGATCTAGGGCACTGAGTGAGATGGTTGAGTTCACTACCCAGGGGGCTGGATGCTAACCTGCCCCACCTCCCCTCCCTACCTCGTCCCTCGGCCACTACAGAGAACCCACTGCCCACTCTGCAAATGCTCCTCCAAGGAGGTCTGCAGCCTGTGGTTTCTCCAGGCTCGAGGGATCTCATGTGTTGGCCTGTCCTGCCTGCCTGGGCTCGTCTCCTACAAGCCATGACTCCTTTCTTTCTGCCTTTTTCAGAGGGAGCAGCCTGTGGACAGAGCCTGGAGGACAGAGCCAAAACCCTAGCCGAGATGAAGCTGATCCTGCAGACAGTTGGTTTTCCCTGGCACATTGTTGCCTTAGAAGAGGTACGTGGGCCCACCCCTGAGAAGGACCTCCGGAGGTGCCCGCTGGGATGTCCACAAGGAGTGCATGCCCACTTGTTGGGGCCAGGCTGCGGGCCTCTTGCCTGGGCCACGCCTCGGTATATACAGTGGTGGGTCTGGGCTTCATACAACTTCTCCACCCTCCCCTGCCCTGCAAGGTGTTCGGCCTGCCGCCATCTGTGCTTCGCTACCTTGACCAGGAGCCCTCAGGGACCAAGGGGGCCTATAAGGCAGCTGTGGACAGTTTCCTCCAGCAGCAGCATGCACCAGCCCAAGGGGAGGAGCAGCTGAGCCAGCCTGGCTCCCAGGACCCCCAGAGCCCAGCTGGGCTCCCCACAGCTGCCCAGACCGAGGCTCAGCCACCCACAGCTGCCCAGACCGAGGCTCAGCCACCCACAGCTGCCCAGACCAAGGCTCAGCCACCCACAGCTGCCCAGACCGAGGCTCAGCCACCCACAGCTGCCCAGACCGAGGCTCAGCCACCCACAGCTGCCCACACCGAGGCTTTATCTAGACTTTTCGACTCAGTGAAGACACTGACAGCCAAGGAGGAGCTTCTTCAGACCCTGCGGTGAGCCTCCTCCCCCCCAGGTCCTGGCCCTGCCCTACCTGTGTCTGAGATCCCTTGCCCTGCTCTGCAGAACCCACCTGATTCTGCACGTGGCCCGGACCCATGGCTACTCCAAGGTGATGACGGGGGACAGCTGTACCCGCCTGGCCATCAAGCTCATGACTAGCCTGGCGCTGGGGAGAGGGGCCTTCCTGGCCTGGGACACGGTACTCAGGGGCCAGGCTGCCCAGGGGCCTCCCACCCTCACCCTTTAGGCCCTTTCACTTGAAAGTAGTATCTTGTGAATCAGTTTTGGGGTCTTCCTCATGGAGGGAGGAGCCTGACACTCCTCAGCTGGCAGGGAAGGAGGGAGCTATAACCCTGTCAGCTGGGTACGGGGAAGAACACATCCCCCTCTCCCTCCCCAGGGCTTCTCTGATGAGAGGCATGGTGACGTGGTGGTGGTGCGGCCCATGCGCGACCACACACTGAAGGAGGTCGCCTTCTACAACCGCCTGTTTGCTGTGCCCTCTGTCTTCACACCAGCTATCGACACCAAGGTAACTTGCAGGACAGGGCAGAGGCTGCCAGCACATCTTCGGCAGCCTAAGCTGTGTCCACACCAGCCCTCTAGCTTCAGTGCTTGCCACCTGGTACCACAGTGGCGTCCCTATGTCCCCCAGCATCCTTGGAGCGTATACAGGATATCCCTTGGAGTTGGAGGACAGGTTGGTTGGTGCCTTCGAGGGGGAGAGGGCTCACAAGGAGAGGGAGTTGCCACACCCTGGTACCCATCCCTGGGAAGGCGAGGTGCCCAGCTTGGGGGGAGGGGTGGTCATGGACATGGGGAAGGGGATGATGGAGGGGCAGAATGACCATTGTCAGAGGTACTTAAAATTTTGACATAATTTTTGTTTGTTTTGGTGTGTTTCTTCGTTAATCCTCACCCGAGGATATTTTTTTCATTAATTTTTATTGAGAGTGGAAAGGAGGGGGAGAGAGAGAGGGAGAGAGGGAGAGAGGGAGAGAGGGAGAGAAGAGAGAGAGAGAGAGAGAGAGAGAGAGAGAGAGAGAGAGAGAGAGAAAGAAACATCGATGCACATTGATTGGTTGCCTCCCACACGCACCCAACTTGGGCGGGGCAGGGAGGGAACTTGCAACCCAGGTATGTGCCCTTTGACCAGGAATTGAACTGGCAACACTTTGGTCATTGATTTCAGAGAGGAAAGGAGAGGGAGAGAGAGATAGAAGCATCAATGATGAGAGAGAATCATTGATCAGCTGCCTCCTACATGCCCCATACTGGGGATTGAACCTGTAACCCGGTCATGTGCCCTGACCAGGAATTGAACTGTGACCTCCTGGTTCATAGGTCAGCGCTCAACCACTGAGCCACGCCAGTTAGGCCATAATTTAATTTTTAATAATGGCTGTGTTTAGAAGTGTGTGCCTGATTCACTCCAGTCCCAACATGGCAGACTCTCAGGAGCTGACTGGAGGAACCCATGGCCCCTTGGCCAGGCCTGGGGGCTGCTCCTCTGCACCAGGGCCACTCCAGCCCCCCATCTGATTGTCCCTAGGCCCCGGAGAAGTCCAGCATCCACCGGCTTATGGAAGCCTTCATGCTCAGGCTGCAGGCCCAGTTCCCCTCCACAGTCAGCACTGTGTACAGGTGTGTGTTTGTGCCGTGGAGTGGGAGTGGGAGCGTAGGCACTGAGCTCACCACCCTGGGGCTCAGGTCAGGCAGGAGCAAGGTTCTGGTTAACTGGTGGTGCCTCTGTGCCCTGTCCTCACACTTCAGGACGAGTGAGAAGCTGGTCAAGGCCCCAAGGGATGGCAATGCTGGTGGCCCCCCAGGCCCCCGCTGCCTGCTCTGCATGTGTGCACTGGACATCGACACTGCTGGTCTGTACTGCATGTTCTCGGGGTTCATGGGTGGAAGGGGTACCGGTGAGTGGGTATTGGGGTTTACCAATCCTGAGGTCCCCTCAGTCATTTCTGCTTACAGATAGTGCCACGGCTTTTGGGGCCCAGACCTCACATCTCTCCCAGATGCAGCCCCCCACCCCACCAGCTGAGGCACCCACAACACCCTGCTGCTCTGCAGGGGTGGGCAGGGCCCAGGGCTGTTGCCGGGGGGCTGAGCCCTGCGGGAGGTGAGTCTCTTTCCTGATCCACCCCACCCCATGGCTGGTCCCTTGCAGCTACACAGAGGGTGGTGGTACACCCGGGACCAAGCCCTCGGGCCCTGCACTGAGGGGCCAAGACCAGGCACACAGGTCCAGCTCTGCTCCCACAGGGAGGACCCCCGAGCCACTGTCATCGAGCAGCTATGCTACGGGTGCCGTGTGAACATGAAGGACTTGGTGAGTGGATCCTGCCTTGTGTTGGTGATAGGGGAGGCCCACCCACTCTTGGGGTGAGGGTGCAGGTTGGCACTGGCTTAGCTTTGTGCCATGTAGCCCATCACTCATGCCGGCTCTCTGTTGCAGCCTTCCTTGGACCCCCTGCCACCCTACATCCTGACTGAGGCCCAGCTCCGTAGCCAGAGGTACTGGTACCTGCTGTGCTGGGAGCCCTGGGAGGGGTCCTTCTGGATGTGAGCACCTTTGGGCTGATTCCCACTGTGTGGCTTCCCCCAGGGCCTCGGTCTTGCAGGAGATACAGGAGTATCTGATTGACAGTGATGATGAGGCGCAGACCGGTGAGAGCTGAGCCTCAGGATGGACCCTCGGGACCACCCCGCCTGGACCTCTGCCATGCTGGAGCAGGACACAGGGATGGGCAGGCAGCGTGCTGTCATCTGTTTGTATAAATAAAAGTTTTAATTAAAAAAACTCTACAGTACGTGTGGAGAAAGGAGGGCTGGGCCCCCTGGCCCAGTGTGTCTGGCACTGGGCCCTGCAGGGACAACGGAAAGAGACAGCAGTCCTGTGCTGGGCCGTGGAGGGGCCACAGCTCCCTTCTGACAGCAGCATCAAGGCTCAGTGGGCCAGGAGGACCTGTCACAGCTGGTGGCCTGGGACTGGAGTATCTGCTCCTGTGGCCTGAGGAGCACTGACCTCCTTCCTGCCAGGCCGGCTCCTTCATTCACGTGCACACGGAGCCTGGCTCCTACTCCTTTTCGCGGGTCCACTTGATCATGGTCTCCGGTGAGCGGTAGAGGAAGATGAGCTTGGCGTATAGCTCCTCTTCCAGCTCCAGCTCCCGCGTCTCCCGCACCAGGAAGATGTCCTGGCAGAGTTTGAGGATTCGGTCCACACACGGCAGCTCCTCGAACATGATGGAGTGTGAGATCTCACTGAAGAAGCCACGCACAAACTTGCCGATGACCAGCACGATGGACACATAGAGCCCCATGATCCTGCCAGGCAAGTGCGGGTGAGTCCTGGGGGCTGCTACCCACAGCCGCACCCCAGCCCCCAGGCCCACGGCACTGCACACTCACCCGTAGCCAGCCAGGAAGCCCAGGCTGGGTGGGCTGACCTTGTCGTTGAAGATGACCATGGGCAGCAGGTTGCAGTCAGCCTGGCAGTCCTGTAGCTCGATGACCCACCACTCAAGGAAGCCAGCAGCCCCCGAGCCCACACGCTCCCTCCGCAGCTGGATGCGCACGCCGAGGTAGTCCGCCTCCTCGTCTGGAGCAGAGCGGCGAGACAGTCAGGCCACACCCTCTCCCAGGGCAGAGGCCATGGCCCAGCACCACCTTCCCCCAGACACTCACTGGGCTGCAGCTGCTTCACGGGGTTGGCTTCAGGCCCGTTGGGGGCACGGATGTACTTGGGGAAGAGGTTAGGGATGACCCTGTGGGGAGGAATCCAGTGGGTCAGGTCTGGCCCAGCCTTCCTGGTGCCCCCAGGCCCCTTGGTCCCCACTCACACGGACTGGTCCGAGGTGCCCTCCAGCAGGCTGGCCAGCTGCCACCGCTCAGTGCTATTGGGGGCCAGGTCCAGGGTGTGCTTCTCGTTGGTGTACTCTACAGTGCCTCCCTTGGCCAGGTCCCTGCAAGCAGGGGTGCAGCGTGACCCACCGAAGCGTGCACCCCATCCAGGCCCCATCCAAGCCCAGGACGTACCTCTGGAAGTTCCAGGTGAAGCGCAGGGTGATGTCGGCAGTGCCGTTGTACAGCTCCCGCTTCATCTGGGCCCTGCTGGGCGGGCTGATGCGCCACAGAGCCCCGGAGCTGCCCTCGATCTGCGCTGTGACGATGTCCTCAGGACTGTACTGGCTGATGAACTGCATGGCCAGCTGAGCACAAGACGGCGCCTCAGTGGGGTGAAGCCAGGCCACCCCCACAAAAGCCATCCCTTCCCCTGCCAGGCAGATGCAATGTGGGGGCTGCTCACCGGGTGGGGGTCAAACTGCCTGGACAGCTCCTCATAGGCCTGTTGTGTGAAGGGCACGATGGACGGCTGCTGGGCACTCATGGTGAACAGGGGCTGAGGGTGAAACAGGGTGACATGGTGCTGGGGGAGCCTCCCTGACTCCCCAGGTCGCCAGCACGCAGGCCACGCTCTGCGTAGTCCATGAGGACCAGAAAGGGAGGAGTGGGAATTGGGGCTGCCTGGCCAGAGCCCTCAGTGTGCGGGCAGAGCTTGCACCTGCACTGCTTCCCGTGCTGGCGAAGGTGGCTGCTCACCTCGTAGCCCCCCAGCTTGAGGGTGACGGTGACGTCAATGGGCTGGTTGACAACGCCGACAACGGAGCGCACCAGAGACATGAAGAGCAGCGGGAACCAGATGATGGCCACGAGGAACAGGATTATAAGGCCACCCATGCCATACTTAACGATCTTCTTCTTCTTCTGCCCCTTGGGCTGTGGGTATTTCTGGTGGGAGGACAGGGTACGGGTCAGCTGCTCAGCTCCACCTTCCCAGTGCCCTGCGTCGTGCAGGCCTCCGTCTCTGCTCCCTGCCACAGTGCTGTCTCAGACCCCTCCCTCCCTCTGCTCCCAGAGCTGCCCTCCACGCCTCACCTTTCCATCCTCAAGGCCATGGTCTTGAGCTCACCCCGTGGACCCATAAAGCCTTAATTGAACATCCAAACTGACTGCAGAGCTATAGCAGCTAAGTCTGTGTGCTGGACAGGACAGAGATCAATGGAGAGATTCTGAGCCCCAAAACAAACCCACACAAGGAGACAGGTGCCAATCTCTCAGTAGGGAAAGGACAGCCTTTTCAATAAATGGACCCTTAACTAACACCATGTGCAAAAATTAACTAAGACCTAAATCACTGAAACTTTAGGGCAAATCTTTGTACCTTATATTTGGCAAAATATCCTCAGATCTAATACCAAAAGCTCAAGCAACAAAAGAAAAAATTTAAACTAGACATCATGAAAAATAGACTTGTGTGCTTCTGAGGACACCATCAAAAAAGGAAAAAGCCAACCACAGAATGGAGGAAATACCTGCAAGTCGCATCTCTGATAGAGTGTAGTATCCAGAGTATCTATGGAACTCTTTCAACTCAATAAAAGGTATAAAGTGCCACCTTTTGTTTACCTAACAGTTGCTTAACCCAAGGAAAAAATGGGCAAAGGCTCTGAAAAATACTCTCCAAAGAAGGGAGACATGGCAAATAAGCACAGGGAAAGGTGCTTATCATTAGCCAACAGGGAAATTCAAAGTCAAAACCACAGGGACGGGTAAAAAAAAGTCAGACCAGAAGGGTTAGCGAGGAGGTGGAAGAGCAGTGGGACTGCGATGGAGCAGTCGCCATGGAAAACAACTCGAGAGTGAAAGCAAGAGTTACCTCAGGGCCCAGCAACCACATTCCTATGTGTCTATCGAAAACAACTCGAGAGTGAAAGCAAGAGTTACCTCAGGGCCCAGCAACCACATTCCTATGTGTCTATCCAGGAGAAATGGAAACTTGTATGTTCAGAGTCTTATATGTGAATATCCATAGCAGCCGATCTTGTCTGGAACTGTTGAATAAAAGGTGGCATGAACCATAACCATAGACATAGACCTAGCACTAACCCTAACACTAGACTTAGCCCTAACCCTAACCCAACACTAACATTAACCCTAGCCCTAGCCCTAACCCTAACACTTTTACCAAGTCCTAACTCTATCCCTACCTCTAAACCTAACCCTAGCCCTACCCATAACGCCTAACAAACAAAAAGTTAAACTATTCTGCCATAAAAAGAAATTGTGACACATACTACAACATGGATGAACCTTGATAATATGCTGAGTGAAAGAAGCCAGTCACAAAGGCCACACTGACTTCATTTATATGAAATTTCCAGAACAGGCAAATCTATAAAGCAGGTGGTGGCTGCCAGGAGCTGGGCAATGAGGGGAATGGACAGTGACTGCTAATGGGTACGAAGAGCACGTTCTAACTTTGTGGTGATGGCTGCACAACTCTAAACATACTGAACCACCAAACTGTACACTTTAAATGGGTGAATCTTGTGTATGAATTCTCTCTGTAAAGCTGCTAAAAAAGAACAAAAATTCAGCTAACGTTATGGCAGGCATATTCCACTGTGCAATTTGCTCAGGCCACTGCCAACTGCCTGTCCCTAACAGGGCAGAGTTCACTATCCCCTCTCTAAGAAGCCCCTCTGGCTGCCAGGGAGAGCTCTAGAAATGCTCTCTGGCCCACAGTGGCTCTCTGGCCTCATGTTGCCATGGTTTCTGAGCCCAAGGAGGGGCCGCCAGTGTTTGGTTCTCGCAGTTCCCGTCGGCCCCAATGGGGAGTGACCAGTGTCCCTCTCTACCCTCGCCTTGGGCCCAGGCACCTTTTCTGTCTCTCGGCTGCACTTGATGATGAAGATGTTGGCATAGATGTCCTCCACGCACATCCAGTTGGACAGGGACAGCGTGGTGTCTGTCCAAACCCAGTCCATCACGGCCCGCAGCTCCACCAGGAACGGCACCAGCCGGAACCTACCCGAGACGGGGGACCCATCAGGAGGGGCTGAGGGAGGGCAGCCTTGACCCCCCTTGGGCCAGCCCACACTCACCCCTGGAAGAGGAAGAGGTTGAGGTGGTTGTACTTCTTGGTGAGGAAGTTGCCAAGGATGCGGGTGGGGTAGCCACAGCGGATCTGGTAGGCGGACAGGGCGAAGTAGATGCACTTCACAAAGTACCACAGCTGGGCTACTGCGTTCTGGCTGAACATCCTAGGTGGGACAGGAAGCCCAGATCAGGGCACCCCGCCCGAGTCCAGTAGCTGGAGCCCCCAAGGTCCCTGGACCCAAATGCAGCTCTGCCAGGCACCACAAAGCATGTCTCTGCAGGCTGGGCCTGACCCCCCAGCACCCACCTCTCAGTGACAGCAGGCAAGATGAAGAACATCCAGACATGGATGGCCAGCACCAGGACGACCTGGAAGGCCAGCTTGCCCAGCACGGTCTTGCGTAGGTAGAGGGCACGGTCGATGACCATAGTGCTGAACTGGATCAGCAGCATGACCAGGAAGGCTTCCGGAACCTGGTCATCTGACAGGGAGGACGTGATGTCCGTAGCCGCTGAGTGCTTCTGTGGCCAGGAAAGGAAGGGTCAGGGAGAGCTGGGATGGCCGCTGGGCTCTGCGCTCACAGGGGCCCCTGAGCCCAGCTCACCCCAAAGGCCCAAAAGCCAAACATGATGATGATGAAGTCGACCACGTCAGCCAGGAACATGAGGGCATAGACGTCAGTGGCTGCACGGTACTTGGTGTGCAGGATGTCGTGGAAGAAACGCCGCAGGGGCCGGTACACACTCTGGGCCCTGCGGACAGGCGGAAGGGAGCTCAGCTCAGGACCTTGGTTGCTCCCACCCACCCCTCCCCTAGGCCACTCCCAGGTTGGTCACTCACAGGGACAGGCAGAAGGT